TTGAAAATTAGGAAATGTATCTCCTCTTGACATGCACAAGTGAACCTGAAAACAGATACATAAAATAAAGAGAATTGTTAGCAGACAACATAAAATAAATGCAATTTTACAGCATCAGTTTTTGTTAAAATATTATTTTAAAATTTCCATACTGGTCAATCGCCAGTAGGGTAATGACAAACACCTTCTAAACTATTCTTGGCTTTTTTTTTCCCCTATATATTTATATGATTTGGGAAGTTCTTTGTCGTTTTTTAGTCTTGTGGTTCTCTCTTTTCCCCCTTGTCAGGCTTGTAATCTTTAGCCTTAGACTATTTTCATTACTTCAATGAAAATTTTGTTTCTTGTTAAAACAAAAATAAATAATTAAATCATCAGTAAGTTAACATATACCGTTTGGTGAAAACTTCTAAAATTTTGATATCCTTTTAAAAAGTGTAAAAGGTCGAAATACAGGACAAAAAGTTAGAGAAGCACCTCACCGGTGGCTCTTCCTTTGGACCACGTGATTGGAATATCTAAAATTCTCTCAAAAAGCTGCATAAAGATGAAAAGGGGAACTCGTGATGAGTAAACACATCATTTAGTGCAGACGGAGACTTCTAAATCTCAATTCAGCCGTTAAATATAGGTAATCATTGCTTATGTAGCATACCGGAACAAAAAGGTTGGTAATTTTCAAATTCGAATGCCATTGCTGCTCAAAGATGTCGACAAAAACATCTGCAGATAACCAGCCACCATCTCCGGAGACACTATCTGATCTCCATGTCTTACAATTACCACTCAAATGAACATGCACGTTGCCATAATGATTTTGAAATTTCACATGCCCATTAACATTCTCCATCTCTCTGAAGACATATAAATTAATTGTAAAGACTTTGTCCATATAGTGTTTGCATTCATTTAACATAATTGAGTACATCAATTAAACCACGTGCATTTTGATTCCCAGCCAAAGAATTCTACTATCGTGTAATAAACGCTCCCTGTCAGCTAATCACTTAATATAAATGGTTTCAGCCCAGTTCATTATCAAACTACTGGCAAATCATAAATTGAACCTAGCCAAAAGAAAAGGCAGCATCATTGTGCATTTTTTCCTAATACTCAGCATATAAAACAATTTATTAGCATTCCTAATGCAGCCATTGGTGTGGTGTCTCAGTTCATCTATAACCTTTTGATACAATATAAAATTCCCCACAAAATTGTTCAACTTGTGTTAATAGCCAACTTCAAAGTTTAACCCTATACATACATATGTGTGTGTGCCGTTGAAAAAAAAAATTATTAAAAAAAAGTTTCAACTTTTCAGATAAACTACTTTTGAGAGGAGACACTACCTTGGTTCTCTGTCACCATATGCAAGTAACATAAGTGTCCCGCCTTTGAAATGGACAGAATCAATCGTTACTGGAAGCATTGCTTCAGTACCTTTATTCTTCATTACATCTCCACCATTGACAATAACCCTAGAGTGTTGAACCAAGCCAAATTTCAAGTTCTTAAAGTACATGGCTAGGTGGTACAACAGCTTCGTCCCTGCATCTTTAGGAAAATAGGATAAAGCTGATTTTGGGCTCATTGCCCAGAAGGATGTTGGTCCAGATGTTCCAGACTGATGTTCATGACCTGTTGAAGTTGGTGCTTGAGACGTATGACACATTTGATCAGATATTCCATCAGGAATATGATCAGATCCTACAACATCATCATTTTTCACATTGGACTCATTAATGCTGGGAGTAACTGAAAAGAATCTTCTGTCTTTATTGCCCAAGCCTGTAACTGTAGAAATCTGATCATCTATATGGTTCGGAATATCAATACCCCCTTCTTCTTCAAGAGAAGGCAATCCGGCATATAAACGTTGTTTCCCATACTGGGCATCAGTATTCATGACAGAGGAGTCCGCGTTAGTTTCATTCACACTTTTGACCAAGTAGGCGTCAAGGTTCACATTATTTAAACTCCTGTGTAATTCTGAAGGCTCACTAAACTTCACCTCAGATGCAGCCTTGAAATAATCCTGAGCTGCCAATGTACTGCGCCTCAGAATTCTCTTTTTGGCCATGAAATTATTTACATACACGTTGTCTCCACTTGCCTTCCTCTTTGATTGGCCTTTTATAGGTACTTTCATTACTCTGGACAAGAATTTAAGCCTTGAACCAGGGCTTTTTACATCAAAATACTTCTCTGCATTTGCATGCTTTATTTTATAGTCCACATCTGTATCCATGCAGCGATGTTCCCTCGAATGAACATTCTCATCCATGAAAAGAAAAGCTTTAGAGTTTTCAACATCTACTGCAGGACCTACATCCTCCTTCAAATTGCTGCTATCATACAAACCTGAACTCCTGTCAGAAACAACAAAACCCATCTCAGCTGCTTCCCTAGCTGCATCGTCCCTATCTTTGGACCAGCAAGCAGCTGCCTCTTCCCTGGCAATTCTTCTGATTTTTGTACGATTGTCAATACCTTCTTCAGAAGAAGAATGCCTCTGCAATGTCCCTTCAGATGGAAAGGGCAGCCCCAACCACGTATAGTCCCTCTTCTGCACAACTACCGCACTTGGATGAGACAATACCACATCAATTATTACTCTCCCTCTCCTCAAACTGGTAAAAGGTAAAACACGAAGTTTCATGGTGGGAACTTCACCGCAAGAGAATTCTTCATCATCTGGACCAACGGAACATGACTCTAGTGTGATACTCAAGGGTGAAATGCTTCTAACCTTTCCAAAATCAAGATCACGCTGAATACAGTCACTGACTGCTTTGCAAACAGATGGAAGAAGCTTAGCTTCAACAAAACCCTTGGCTTTTGTCTGCCCATACCAAACCAGTAAGCATATACCAGATACAACAGCAACAAATGCAGAACATCTAATCAAAAACAACCCCTCGTTCCTCAAAGGACGCAAGAAACTTGATAGAGCTTTGGTTTGAACAGAAGGCTCATTGGCACATTTCATCAAAGACTCGTGTCTAGGCCTAAGCTTTAAACTTATTGACTTTAAATGCTGCCCACAAAAACGCGAAAATCTATCCACTCGAGCATTCCAATCGTTGTGCTTTGCGCATATGTACTTCTTAGAGTCCCGTTTCGACAATCGGCCTCGACGTACACAAACAAAATTTCCATTCTTTATGCAGTACAGTGAGCTATGGAGTTGAGTCGCAAAGAAGGAAGAATCAAGTTTCACATTATTCATTATCCTCCTAGTCTCGCTTAAACCAAAAACTTCATTTGTGGGGGACCAAGAGACAGGTCTCAGTCCCCTGACAATTCAAACTGTCAGCAAGAACTCAGGCATGGAATCGAATCGATCGTCTACCAATTTCAACATGAACCGGGCTATTTACGTTTCATTGAACAGGCAAAAATCCAAAAACAAATCGACCCAACGTGATAATCAGATAACCATGGTAGCTCGAAATACTGAACGTTATATTAGACAAACAACTATCTCTCAATTACACGCAACACAAACACCCATTCCAGAGGAAAAAGAAAGAAAATCAATCACAGCTCGAGACGCTAACACTTTCCAATCGAACATATGTGCCTAACTGCGTGGCATAGAAACAAAAATACGAGGAAATTGGGACGAGATAGAACCTGTAGCGATTGAACAAAGCATTTACGAGAAACTTGAAGAAGAAATGAACCAAGGCGAAAGAATTGGAACTTATTGTGCAACTGTCAGCACATTCAGCTGCGATTTTGTGTCTATGCGTGTAGAGAGAGAGAGAGAGAAGTAGATTACGTCAGTGTGAGCCGCGAGGTTCCCTTACGCTCGCCCCACGGACCGCGAATCCTATTTTGGAGCGCGGGTGGGTGCATATAGAAGCTTCAAGCATTTTAGAACGGGGTTTTTTTTTTCTTTTTTTTTTTCGGCCAAAAGATGGCTTTAAATTTCTCGCGAAAAATAAAATAAAAATAATAAAAATATAATTTGGGAATAAAAACGTTTTTTTTTTTAATACGCTTGTTAGAATAGAGTAGTTGTAGTAATTTAATTTAGATTAAATTATAAGACTCTCTTCTTCTTTTCTTGTGTATTTTCATTTTATTAAATTAGCTAAATATTTTTATGGAGGGTGAAAATCAGCTAAAATCATGAGTTTGAATGATCAGGAATAGATAGATAATTATGTGTTTGAAGATAGTGAAATGATTGTGTTTTTGTCAACCTAAACCACAAATCAAGGTTACATAAACGGGTGATACGCATTTTCTAAGTAATGGAGAAGAAGACCGTAACATGTCACTGGCTAAGATAAAGATGGTGCCAGCTAACTTTTGTCCCTGTTCCTCAATCAATCAAGGGGACAAGGAGAAGGAGAGAAGTATGAGACCGAGGTGAATAAGACATAACCAAACAAACACATAATTACCGATAGTTCAACCTGAACCTGAACCTATTTATTTAAACATTGTAAACGTTTGTAATACTGAGAATATAAGATTTTGAAGATGACCCAAAAGACATAAATTGTAAGCTTCCTTCAAAATTTATTTCTCGTATAAACAAAGTCCATGCCGAATGATATAATGTTTCCAACTAGCATATTGGATTTAGTGACGAACCTAAAATCTTATGAATGATTCGAAAGTAATCTACTACAATGGATCTATTGATTCGAATCTATCAAATCTCTTGATCAAAAGTATAAATTTTAACGAGTTATAGTTAAAAACACGCGAGAGGTCATGGATTATCTCGGTTGGTGGATGCTACCTAAAAATGATTTACTATAGCAGCCTTCTAGCCTCCAACATCACAGCAGCAACTAATGATTTGAACATACTATAAGGCAATTGACAACATAAAAACAACACAATGAATCCCACCTGTGATATTAAATAATCAACAATTGCTTCATGTGGATAAGATTGTAGACTAAGTACCTAAAGAGACAGAATAAGATCACACAGTGTATTCAACAATCAATTCAGATGGCGACACAATCACAATAATATATTCTTGAGCTCTGTTCTTATTTCTTACTTCTCATCAAGGTGGCAGAGTTAGGGAGAAGCAATCACAGTTTCTGTAGCTTCATTTTGCATATTTTCAGATGCACCTAGAGCCAAAAGTTTTAAAGAGCAAACATGCAAGAACACAGTTGGAGACTAAAACGATGAACAACAAGGGATCCACAAAAGAAAAAGGTGAAAATTCCCCCAATCCATTTTAATACAACTAATTGCCACTGTCCACAAAACCAGATTTGAGAGCCCAGAGAGATTATTCTGCATTGCTTATACAAACAATGAGAAACGTATGTCCCGTTATAGACGGAAAAAAAGGAAAACAAGGTCGTTGTTTACCGCACGGGCTGTTGGTTGTAATGGTTCTTATCTTTCTTTTTCGCTGCTGCAAGTCTCGCGCTCCTTGCTGCAGCCTCAACGGCAGCAGCTTTGGCAGCAGAGTCCATCTCTTTGCTAGATTTCTTCTTCTTCATGGATGTCACCTTCTTGAGACGCTCCTTCACATCAACTGCCGATGTGTCTTCCTCCGCATCGTCATTGCCAGCAAGTTCATCTATCCCCGTGTTAACTTCGGAACTGTTTCGCTGATCCTGATCTTTAACCTCTTTCTTTTCCTTCTTTTTCTTCTTCTTGGCACTTTTCGACTCCGAAGGGGCATTTTCCTTCTTTTCCCCATCTCCATTGGATTCTCCATCTCTTTTTTCTTGCACATCTGAAAATGCCAAATAAAACAAACAACAAAAGCCTTCTTCAGACAAGGTCTGCAACCTCCTTTGTTGGTAAAGAACCCACAATTAATCATATATCTTCGCCTATATTGAAGATCCATAAAAAGTCCAATGTATGAATAATTAATAACAAGATTGAAGAAGACCAAAGCAGGACAAATTCACAACCATCCAACGCAATGACTAGGAAGGGTATTCACACTCCCAAACGTGAATCCACCATCACAATAGGTACAAATGCAGCAGTTAGCTGTCAATGGTAGACAAACAAGGTGTTAACAATGCCTCAATTCGGTCGAGATATTTGTAGGGCTTCATACCCACATCTGTTCACAGTTACCAAGAATATGATATATGAACAAAGACAACATTCTTGTTGCAAACTAAAACAAAACTTTCACGAGCATACGTGGAGTACAGCTAAACTTTTAGAGCGATTAACAGGCAAGACAGGTAGGAGGGAAACAAAAACGACATCATAAGGTTTGAAACAACAAAAATTGTATTACCACGAGACTCATCTTGACTGTTGCTGTCTTTCTGGCTTACTCCAAAATCAGCCAAAAGGGCATCAAGTTCAGCAAGTTCCTTCTTCTTCCTTTCCTTCTTGGAAAGTTGCCTATCAGCCTCCTTTGGTGCCACAGAGGCTTCAGGAGCCTTCTTCACAGCTGGCTCAGGATGCACAAGAACCTCTGGTTCATGCTCATGCTCATGATCATGATCATGCTCATCCTCAAGATCATAATCAACTTCATCGAGGATGTCATCATCACTCTCACTCTCCTGCAACCAGATACCCATACTTAGAAGGATTTTCGCAGCAATAAACAATAAAATATTTTTGGGACACGCTTACGAGCACATTTCTCACATATATTATTCAACAAGATAGAACGTAGGGAATTTCAATGCCTGCCCTATGCATCTATGCATACTACTAAGCATAAAATTTCAAGGCTCAACCACAATAAATAGTGCTATCAAATAATGACAAACATGATAAAACACAACGGTTACACCATTAGTTGTCATAACAACATAATCTACCTAGACTATTATCAAGGAAAGTGTGCATTCTAGCCAGCCTACCCACTCAATCAATTTCAGTATGAACAGAAACATGAGACAAACTGCAAGGAATACTCAAGTAACGGATGTTATGCTCGTTCCTTCCTCTCCATATCGTTCCCTGCATATCTTATGAGCCTTATGACACGGCTCTTCACCAAAAGCAGTATCTAAATGGTAGACATAAAAATGGTAAAGTATAATCCTGGGGATCATTCTCATGGCCAATTTATGGTTTAAAAAGTCTGAATGTACTTTCTTCCTCGTAGAACCAACCAGAAAACGAAAGATTAACATGGATATGAATAAGCTAACAGAATTCAGATACACAAGTCAGTAATATATCAGTAAGGTTCGCGAGATAAAGTCATCCAACCTCTACAATGTTCGGCCTCTCCTTGCTCTCATGAGCCTCCGAGGAGCCCCACACAGCCTGTGGCGGAGCAGTCGTGGCATAGTAATCGTCATCATCTTCATCGTCAACATCAGCCCAGGATTTTGAAGTTAATGGAGCTGGTGCCCAAAAAACCTGAGGTTCGGGTTCCTTAGGCTGGGCGGACTGAGACTTAGACCCTTTATTCTTGCGTTCCTTGTCAGACTTCTTCTTCTTCCTGAGAGTCTCAAGGGCTGCAAAAACGTTGGTGTTGTTGATAACCAAAGAACCCTCGTCCCTCCTGCTTCCACCACCGACCATTTTCAGAAATAAAACAGATCAACCAAAGCGACGCAAAAACAATGAAATCGTAAAAACAGAAGCCAGATTACTAAAATTCCTCGAAGTTCAGGAATTCCACCAAGAATTTTATTGGCGAAACCGAATCTCCGGGCAGCGAACTGAAATCAGACAACGCCCAAGTAGGTCCGACAAAGATTGAGAGAAAATATGAATCAATAAATCGCCAACAAAATTCTTGACAACAAAAAACAAAACAGATGCAAATTTCTGGATTGATAGATCAAAGATTTGCGACAGATTTGAGGGTGAGGCAACAGAAAATTAGGGTTTCGGGTTCTGCACAAGTTGATGATGAAAGATTACAAATAAAAGTAATAGATGGAGGGAAATTGAGGATTTGGTAAGTTTTATGATAGAAATTGAAGAGAAATCGGAGGATTATACGTTAAACGAAGATGAGAAGAGGAGTAGTGTAGGGCAACACAGAGGAGACGATAACGTAATGGAAAAGAGAAGGAAGAAAGAGAAGACTTTATAGGGTATATTTTCGAACAAAAGGACCTGATTTTCGTTGAATTTGCAGTTAGGGCAAATTCTCATTTCTTATATTTATTTACGTTAAATAAATAAAAATATTCTTTCCCTAAAAATTTTTCTTAGGTTAATATTTTGTTTAAAAAAAAATACTTTTTAAAATTTTATTAATACGGTTAAACTTTAAAAAAATATGTTAAAAAATACTATTAAATTTTTAAAAATAACATTAAAAATTTATAAATGATATATGAGTGGTAGTAATATCCTCTACCCGATAGTTATATACAGTAAGTCGTTGTTGTTGTCTTTTTGCTTACTTTCGCATATAACACTAATTTCAATTTCTCAAATCTTGCTTTCAAAACTCTCTCTCGAAATCTCTGTGCTCCCATTTTCTAAAACTTTCTTCTTGAACCGGGGCCAGAGACTCGAGCATACATTGCTTGGTCGTAGGCAACGCAAGAATGAATAGGCTTAACTCACTTATTGCTGGAGAGCGAGTGACGCACAATCGCAAATCTACTGTCATTAAAGTGCGATTGTAACAAGTGGTTTTTGTCTATAGGTTCACCGTAAAAAAAAAAAAGGTAAAATTGTTAATTTTAATTTTAAAATTTATAGATATTTTTAAATATAATACAATGTATTTTTTAAATGGAAGTGAGGTTAAAATTTTGATAATATTTTAAAAATAAAATATTAATTATTTTCATATAAAATAAAAAATAAGTTTTTTTTTTTTTTTAATTTTTTTGAAAGTTAAGGATGCTATTGAAATTTTACACAAATTACAATTTTTTTGAGTTTTTATTTATTTTTTATTTTTTAATTTAGTTATTATTTATTCTGATTTTTCTTGCAATTCCCAAAGGCGGTGCCCGTGTTGTCGACCCCGTCACTCAAAATTTTCATCATGAATACGGCGTCGTTTTACTTTTTATGCTAAAATGAATCGATAATGTTCTCGTAAAATTTTATTAAACAATATTTATAAAATTATAAATAAGAAATTCTAATTTAAATTTATAATTTAGTATTTTTTATTATTTATTTGTTAATACGAAATGAAAGGTAATTAATGTAAGATAATTATTTTAGTGTATATATATATATATATGATATAATTAAAAATAATTTTAAAAACACTGCCAAGTATGATATAATTGAAACCAACTATTTCTAAAAACAAATTATTCAAATAAATAATAATTTCAATTCTTTTATTTATTTATTTTTTATTACTAAAAATGCAGCAACATAATTTTACTATCATATTAGACCATTACTAATTGAAGCATAAAATAAATATATTTTAAAGTCATTAATAAAAAATAATTTCAATTTATAAATCCGAATATTTAAAATTATTGGAATGAATAAATCCTCTAGCCTCTTTCACGTTCGGTGAACATAGATTAGTACTTGACACAGTCTTGTTTTTGTAGGTTAGAAGTTCGGATTTTTATTTCTCAATTTGTCGTATTAAAACAAAAGACAAAACTAGCTGTCAACTGTCTCTTCAGCCATTCTTAACGTGTAACGTGCTCAGTTTTAATTGTTGTTTTAAAATTTACGAGATTCTACTGTTCCTCCTAATGTCATAGTCAATACAACGTGACAACACAATTTAAAAGAAAATCAACTCGTTTTTCGTTTTTTCTTTATTCATCCATCGAACTGAAGTATTTCAGGACGGACGTTTTATATTTAGAATAATGAGATTGAAATCAAGTCGTCAAAATTACGAAAATCACCGACCTAGCCAAGCCGCTAAACGTGAATGGGCCGTCCGTTCATCGGCTCAGCAAAAGCACCGTCTGTCGCGTTAACCTTTCTAATATTATTTTGACCACGTCACTTTGTACTGTTTTTTTCTAAAGTTAAAATCTGAAAACCACGCGTTGGATTAGGCGCGTATTAAATAATTGCTTCCTCGAAGTGCACACAGTTAGCGAAAATTGTCCACGTTGCAAAAGAATAGAGCGAGTGTGTAAATTCAACTACTCTCAGCGATTGGAAATTCCGGTTGTTTTATGGCGCCTCCGAACTCAAATCTCCGTGGTATTTTCGAAATATGTTTGAAAAACAAGGGTAATCTAATCTTTCCTTTAGAGGAAATAGCTTTATTTGTCATATTTTTCCGTTTAAAAGGAATTTTCTTTTTTTTTTTTCTTTTTTTAAAAAGAATTAAATCGGTATTTCACTGAAGTCGTGTCTTCTAAGAACTCTCAAGTGAGCTTTGAATCTCGACCGTCCAATTTAAGAGGATCAATCTTGGCCGTTGATACTCTCCATGTTGGCCGGCGGAATTGTGAGCTGCATTTAATCATCGAGGGCGCGGAAGCAGGAGAGCGCGATTGGCACAATAACATTCCAATCCAACGGTTAATATTACGACACGTGGCGGACCAGAACACTTCCATTTTCATTGTTTTTTTCCCAGATTTATTACACTCATTTCCCCCCCCTTTTTTTTTCTTTTTGTTATTTTCGATATTAAACCCTTTCTCGGGGAGAACCAAAAGAAACCCTAGCTTCGTCCGTTTCTCACGGTTAAAATTAAAATATTAGGGCAAAAATTCAAAAATTGCCAAAAATTAATTGGGGAAATTGTGGAATCTATTAGGGTTTCGAACGAGATGGCTCGGATTCAAGCCCTAATTTACCTTTCGGGTTTATGATCGATACCATTCGTAGACGAAGGGATTTTTGTTCGCAGTTCAATCAGTCGAGGTAGGTATATGATTTTCGTTGTCTTAATTTTTTTTTTTTATGAGTTTTGGTCTATCCGAATCCATCCGAGATTACTATGAATGCATGGATAATTGGATGGGATCGCTCTGCGCTTCCGTTTGATCAGAATTTTTGTTGTTGTTGTTTTTTTTTTATTCATTTTTGGCGTGGGTTCGGTGATACAGATCTGAGAAATGTTTATATGCATGTACAATGATGGAACATGAAAATTGGGGGTTTCTGGATTGGGAGTTTTCGTTTGGGGAAGTCGATGGAAAATAGCTTAGGAAACTCACATGGTACTGATACACCGAAGAAATCGAGATCTTTGGATCTCAAGAGTTTATACGAATCAAAGGTGTCCAAAGAGGTTCAGAATAAGAGATTAAAGAGAAAGGTTCGGGCAGAGGATGGTGATGAGCAGAAGACCGAGAGGAGAAATAGGAAAACGGTGTCCCTCAGTAATTTCAGTAGTATTTATAGCAGGAGCAGGAGGTGTTTGGATGAAGTATATGATGCTGGGCTAGGTTCAAGTGGGCATGATTCTAAGAAGGCCCTGAAGTCAGAGTCAAGAGAAAAGTTAAATAGCAGTAGCGAGTTTAACAAACTTCCACTTATTTTAGATGAAAATGTTATGCAAATTCCTAAGCGTAAGAGGGGTGGTTTTGTTAGGAGAAAAAAATCTGTTGATGGTCAGATTTTGAAACCATATGGGCAATTGGATGGTAAAGCTGGTATTGTGGGTCAGATTTCTAAATCTAGTGCCAAAGATCCCAGTGATCAGGTGGAATGCTGTAAGACGAATAGAAAGACGGGGCTTAAAAATTCAAAAGAGAAAGGGCAAAATGGGTTAAGCTCAACTCGGCATCTGAAGAAGGGAGATGGACAGGTTGATCAGTTGATTAAAGTAAATGAATCAAATTTCACTTTGCTTTTGAAGGAGGAAGGTGAGCACATTGATCATTCGGCTGTAAAACCTGTCAGTTTGTCCCCCAAAAAATCACAAAGGAATGTCAGGAAAAGAAAGATTTCTGCATCTGGGAGCAAAAGTAATTCAAAGGAGGGCGAGGCGTCGATATCACATTCTACTAAGCGACGTGATGGCTACCCGGAAGAAGATGAAGAGAATCTGGAGGAGAATGCTGCCAGAATGTTATCTTCAAGATTTGATCAAAATTGCACTGGGTTTTCTTCAAACCCAAACGGTTCATTGCCACCAGCAAATGGGTTATCCTTCTTGTTGCCTCCTGGCCACCATATTGATGGTCGTGGTCTTAAGCCTGGTTCAGAATCTGCATCAGTTGATTCTGCCGGCAGAGTATTGAGGCCTAGGACGCCAAGAAAAGAAAAGAAAAGCTCACGGAAAAGACGCCATTTTTATGAAATTTTTTTTGGGGACTTGGATGCATTCTGGGTATTGAACAGGAGGATCAAAGTCTTTTGGCCTTTAGATCAAATCTGGTACTATGGGCTTGTGAATGACTATGATAATGAAAGGAAGCTTCATCATGTCAAATATGATGATCGTGATGAAGAATGGATTGATCTTCAAAATGAAAGGTTCAAACTATTGCTGCTTCCTAGTGAAGTTCCTGGTAGGGAAGAACGTAGGAAGCCGGTGGTGGGAAGTAATCCTGCTAATAAGAGAGGGAGACCAAGATCCAGGAAAGGAAAAGAAACTGACGCTGCGATCCTGGAGGATGATTGCAATAATGGTAGCTATAAGGACTCCGAGCCAATTATCTCTTGGTTGGCTCGATCTACTCAATGTAGTAAATCATCTCCCTCTCATAGTTCAAAGAGGCAGAAAACTTCCTGCCTATCTTTAAAATCGGGGTCCCAGGCAAATGAAAAGCCAGCAAATTTACGTGTTAAATTTTCAGGATTGCCAGAAAGATTAGGAGATATGGATAGGTTAGAGAAATCTGCTTCAGAAATCACCACTTGTTCTAAGACAAGCAAACTTCCTATTGTATATTTTAGGAAAAGGTTTCGCAACATAGGCACTGAAGTGTCCCTTAAGCGTGGGACAGACTATGCCTATAGAAGAAAACATGCTTCATTTTTTTCTAGTGTTGGTAAAATTGATGATTTGGAAGAACGAGATATTTCTCCCAGAAGAACGCAAGTGCATAGGTTGCTATGGTGTGTTGATGATGCTGGGTTGTTACAGTTGGCTATTCCAGTGATGGAAGTGGGACAGTTGAGATTCGAATTAAGCATTCCAGAATATTCATTCCTGAATGTCACTTCTTGTGCTGAGACATTTTGGCTATTCCATCTGGCGATGT